AAAAAAGTCCGATCCAGCTTGAAAGCCTAAAAAGCATTGAGGAGAGTAGGACAGAAATTCAGAAGGAATCAGAACTCGGAAACTATTTCACAAAAATCTACGAAGAGTGCTGTATTCTCCTGTTTGAACATGTCACCAGTACAAAATTTTGACAGTTGCTCTGGGGACAGTTGAAGCCCATTTCAAAAAATTCAAAATCCCATTCGTACTTGTTTTCTGTGAGAGACAAAGGCAGTAGCTGGAACGATAATTTGCGTCATTAGCGGGTAAAACTGACCTTTTCGCCCGATAGTAAGTGTTTAAGGTTTACGTAGAAACAAATTGAAGCCAGGTTTGGCTTCCTGCCAGTAACAACTTGTAATCGAAACGAATGAACGGATCGTAGAGGGACTGGTTATCTTTCAGATTCACATTTTTAATAATACTGATAGCAGTCTCTTTTTATAATGTCAACACTCAAGTCACAACTGTATACTGCTATTCTGGGAGTGATGATGATCGGGTTTGCATTTGCACTAACATACCTGACCGCTAGCATCGCTACTCTCTGAAATATCGGACAGATTGCTGTCATCTCGGATTAGCTCAGTTATCATTATGATATCGCTTTCTTCTGTGTCCACCAACTTCATCACATCATCAACTGATAAATTCCGTGGCAAAAATTTCACCTATAATAATGGCGACTTGTTAGAGATTCAAATAAAAACACCTTCTAATTTTCGCTCGAATACCGCTCTCTGTTGTTTTGATAAGGGAGGGTTACTGAGGGAGTTCAGGTGAGTGCGGGAGGATAGAGGTAAGTGAAACAGTGACTGTTGAGGGAAATGAGGGAGGAGGATATGGGTTTTGTATGGTGATAAGGACAAGACGTAAGTGGATGATCGGTCGGCTGCACGCCGCCATTTTCTTAGTTTATCATCAAAAGAGAGCGTCATTTGGCTTCATTTATCAGTGGTGCAGTTATGCTTTGCTGGATTTCACATCTTTTCTCTGGATATAACTTCCTTTCATCTTGATTTGTATCATTTTGCAATAGCCCTGGTATTCACGCTGTTGCCAGTCATAAAATGCGCTCAAAAGCCATGGCATTTGGACATTGAAAGAGTCAAGAGCATGACTTGCGCCGCTTATTTTCGAAATTTTTCTTGAATTTCCTTTCAAGAAGGAAACAAAGGCACATATTCACATGCTCAGGACTTAGCAAGCTAGCAATCTACTCCTAGTTCTGTTTTGTTTGGCCCTAACAAAAATAGATGGTTTCAGCCAAAAATGATAAAATAAGCTAACTCTGGAATTATAAGTATGCCTATAATTGCTCGGATTTCGACAGGGACTCGAGAAGGAGAGCATTGTTTGCGAAGATTTGTTAAATCTTTTCCTGTTTAGAAGTGCAGCGTGGACAGAATCGCGTGATAATGACAAAATACTACCACTACGGCCTCCTCCGCTAACAGCACGGCTCTTGAAGATACCAAGCGATGTCCGTCTGCTGCAATTGTTTTACCATTAGCTTGCAAAAAGTTGCTAACGCTAAAGAAAAATGCTACCCTTGATATCAGTTGAAGTAAAGTAATACCAGAATGAGGGACTATAAGTGAAGGAATTCTTCGTCTATAATGTTTTTGGATCCTTCGAATCCTGACGTGTACCGGCCCTGGGAATTGGGATGTGAAACACTGCTATCTTCTAAGCCTCACAACAAATCATCCGGGAGTTCTTGATAATATTGGCAAATATTCTAGGATTTTAATGATGCAGCTGTTACGGAACTGTGTGTTTTTAAATAAGCGCGTTGAAAATGGCCCAGTGAATACTTCCACTGAGTATTTTTGAGGGCACTGAAGAAGACACAGGACGCTTACCTCTTATCGAAGTTTGCATGGGAGTGTTCAGCCGAGACCAAACTCAAATTATCTAATTGCCCAACTTCATATGTTCGCGCCATTTGAGACTGAAGATAAGGCAGCATCGTGCATTTCATTACTGACATAGCATTTTTGTATTTTGTTCGAAACGACAAAAACAAGCAGTTCATAGAAGTACAGTACCACGAAGAAAGGAGACGTCAGGGTCGCTTTTCCTGGGTCATCTTCTTTCAGATGCTACCTTCTTTACCTGTTGTTTTCATCACTTGTGTCTAGGCTGCCCACCTAGAGACTTTTGAAAGTAGAAGCTGAATACAGGGAATCCGGACCACAATATGCAGGTCTTAAAAAGTCATGAAACATTTGACGTATGAGGCAAAGGAAGGAGACAACTCACTTGTATCAAATTAATGCACATGGAGACGAGCGAAAGACCAATGATAATGTAAATAAAAAGCATGAGTAGATATTTTGGCTGTGTTGGAGTGATATCGCCGAGGCCAATTGTGCTAAAACCAACCATCTTACACTGTGGCTGCAAGATTTGGGCCCGGCGATGCAGTGCTTCAAATGCCCAAACAGAGTTTCGAAGTTTTTCAAGCTTCAAAAAAAGAAAATCACTTTTTTAATATGTACATATAAATCAAGTGTCTGCCGCACCCCTGGGCGTTATTTTTATTCTGACTTCAGTCTACGCCCTGAGGGGAGCAGATCACCGAACTTTGTAAGTGACACTTAACAAATTTTATGACGAAGCATACGTGGTTGGTAAAGAAAATTTGCCAGAGCAATGGAGTTGCTCTTAAGTCAAATGGCTTAACCAGTTGGTGCAGTAGCACCAGTGGACAAAAAGCACGCCTAAAATTTGGAGCAGCAGTTGAAAAGGTAGCAATCAAATGCAAACTGGTGACTGCGCGCCATCAGCAGTTACTGGACTACTGCAGTTATCAGTTCTTGCATTTGCAGAAGGTAAAATATTTTTTGCCATTTTTAGCCCGTGTAGTAAAAAGTGATGCTTATGTGGACACTGTTATACCCGTGGCAGGCATGTGAAGTGTGCTAGACGGGTTATACTACCCACTTTTCTAGTAGCGGTTGACATGGCATGTCAGTAATTCTCGAGAATATGTGACAAACATCCGTTCTTGTTCGACAGAACGGATGACGGGAGGCAAGACCTCCCGGACTGGAGGACCTCAGATAATTGCGTTTTGCGTGTGGACGTCACAACTGACCCTCACGACTGCTGCTCCTACGGTCTGAATGGGATCGCATTGTAAGCATATGCTGTTATTGCTATGCAGTGTACATCAACGGCCAATCATCAGGATAACGTAGAAGGAAAATTCTTTTGCTTAGCAGTATTCCTCGTCGTTTCTCAGAGCCACTCAGTTATGAATGATTGATAGTCAGTGTTCCAAAAAAGAGATGGAGGGAACGAAATTCAGTGCACTTTGCAAAAATAACACTCTCTCACCATTCGTTTTGGGCTGTTATCATTATTTTTGTTTCCAAAAAAAAAAACAAAATCAAAATGAACGAAAATTTGGCATACAGTTGTACTGCTTTTTTTATGATAACGAAGCAAATTGAGGCCGCAATAAAAGTCTTGATTGGGGTCACATGGGCCTTTTGCCTTGATGAACACTTTTTACATGAATAAAAATGAAATATTAAGAATAGCAAAACCGCCCGAGCAATCAGTATACTTCCCCATTTAAGGTTTTGGAGAAAATAGGAACAAAAAATGAAAGAGTTGTAAAGAATTATTAAAG